ACTCGAGGGACTGATTACCACTGCGTCGTACTCGCTTCTCATTTGTTGGAATGCGGTCAAACTGTAAATCAATACATAATCAATACAATATCAATCATGAAATAATTATCATAATTGCTGTTACAATTCGACTTAGATTCCAATAACAGGATTATATCAGACTCCATAATATTACAAACTATAATAAAAGTATACATTTACTATTTGCTAAGAATGGTCATATACCTTAATTTGCTTTAGGATAAAGGCAACAACAAACACTGAAACTAATATATATCTATACATGAATGTGTATGATACATAACGAATAGCGATGTAGTTAAGTACGTACGTTAGTACGTGTTGTCGAGCCAGTATCACTTCAACGTTCTTTATAAACCTGTGATGGCCCCCTTTGTGAGACGCCCTCTTTCATATATACGTCAACAATAGGGGCCAGGCCTAATTCAGCATATAAACACATGGCGGAAACACGCAATGGGCATTATCTATCGCAACGCATGACGGAAAACCGTCAACCAAGTTCTAGAGGGATGATATACGCGTGATGTTGAGGCCAGCAGCTACGTCCATGCCGATGTGTGGAAAGTGGCTACAGATGTTATAACGTGATCTGATGCAGCGGGTACGCCATGCCGATGTTGATAAACCGCGGCTACACTCACTCCATTGATTGAGACGGAGTGTCTCAAAACAACACCAAAAACTCTTGCGCGGCGCGGGAACGTATAGTCCAGGTTTTGACATAGACCGCCCACCCCCGAGACCATCGGCTGTTCTATATTCCCTCAGATACATCGCTTCCGAAAGAGGTTAGACAGAGAATTGTTATACCGATGCACAGCCAGCTTGATCCTAATTTTTATATCCCTTCTTTTGCTCTTCATGGGTTCCCTATCAATAAACAACAGGGGCAAAACCTAACATCAGATCTCCAAAAATTAACGATCAGTATAATGAGCCTACCTGTATTGCTGCCGGACAAGGAGAAAAAAAAAACCCACGCCCAGTCACAGGGAGAGGAGTCAAACCTCTTGTATACACCAAATGCACACTCCAGGACTTTGGGCCGCCCGCAGATTAAATAAACTCTCACCAGCGATCTCAGCAATACAATGTGGTTATGGCGTTGTAGGTTCTTTACTATATATGATACCAGGCTCAGAATACAAGAAATCAGTCAGGCAAAGACAACACCCCAAAAGAATTATGCCTTACACTTGGTACAATGTTTCTGCACTGCAAATATGTAGTGTTCTTTGCTGAATAAGTATCGAAGGTTCTTCGTCGAAGGTTTATCTATAGGTTTTTTTCTCCCAAAGCTTTCATTAGACATGCCGATGCATACATATCCCCACTCTTTAAAGCACCTCACGTATCAATCATCAAAAATATCACTATGCACCAGAAGGTCACTATTAAGACAGGATCCTGCTACGATGAATGTCAGCCAAGGAGGCGTGATTGAAGGCGGTGGCTTCGTGGACATCAGCATGATGACAAGTCAGGACACATAATTTCATAAACGTCATCCCAAACACAGTGAAGTTACCAGAGAAAGTATATTGGCAGGAAAAAAGTCTGCATGCATCTGTTATCGGGATCTGCAACAGCAAGGATCCGGCAGAAAACGGAAACAGAGACTCTAGCACGAGCATGAACAACAATGTTCTGGAGTGCTCAAATACTAGCAGAAACTTTGTGAATCATTAACTAGACCCATTATTTTCCCACAAAATACATGACGGACCCGTTTATTTTCGTCACCACATGAGGATACAGTTATTTTCCTCACCACATGAGGACCGTTATTTTTCCTCATCACATGAGGACCCGTTAGTTTCCCTCATCACATGAGGACCCGTTAGCTTCCTCACCACATGAGGACCCGTTAGGGTCCCACCACCATGAGGACCCGTTATTTCCTCACCCCACATGAGGATCCGTTTATTTCCCTCACCACAGAGGTTCCATTATATTCATTTTGAACTCGGAAACTATCTGTGGTGACGGACCAAACGAGTCCAAGAGCTCTTTCTGTGGGCAAATTCTGAATATATAGATCTTCTACAAGCTTTTCCTAATATTGGGTGTCGCTGAAATGGTCCCTCCAATTGACGCCTCCAGTGTTCTATCCTGGACCATTTCTCTTGTCAATCCTGCTTCAACTCATATCCCAGCTCACACAATCCTCCCACCTCATCCATGGTCTTCCCACCCTTCTTCTTGCCGGGGAGGACTTGCATTGCTGACCACGCTTCAGGTAGTTCTCCTCTCTCTTGCTTGACATGTCCAAACCAAAACTAATCTCCTCTCTTTCACTTCGGCCACCTCAGTGACTGTAGCAGATCCTCTAATTTAACGGTTAGACACTCTGTCCCTTCTTGTCACCACACAAGTCCATCGCGGCATTCTCATTTCGTTCACATTCAGGCGCTCCTCTTCTCTCTTGGTGGTTGCCCAGGTCTCTGCTCCGTAGGTGAGTGCGGGTCCTTATTTACACTAGTGTAGATCCTTCTGTTTAGCCTCATGCTCATTCTCTTATCCCGTCATTACTCCACCACACTTCCTCCAGTTCCTCCATCACTTGTATCCTATTTGTAATCTCTGCTTCCAGCCTTCCATCATGCTGCACCATAGACCCTAGGTACTTGAAGATATCAGTTTCTATGAGTACCTCTAGGTATATTTCCATATCCACCTCTGCTCATCCTCCTCTCCGAAGTGGCATTTCATGCATTCCGTCTTCAGTCTGCTGATCCTGAGCCCTCTATCCTCTAACTTCTCTCTCCAACCCTCTAACTTTGGTTCAGTTCCTCTGTGTCGGCCATGCAAATTATGACATCGTCGGCATATAATGTCATAGGGTAGCTCCAGCTGAAGTTCATCGGTCAGGACGTCCAGGAGGTTGACAAAAAGGAATTCAAAGCACTTCCCTGGTGGAGGCCAACTCTGACTTCGAAGGGGTCTGTTTCTCCAGCTGCAGACCTTACCGTTGTGGTGGAATGTCCCTTGATGCTCATAACAAGATACTCTGGCTCTCCTTTCAGTCTGAGGCTCCTCCAAATATCATCAAGTGGAACCCTGTCTGTCTATCTAGATCTAATGTATCTATTTGATGTATGTGATCTTCTACTGGAATTGATTCCAGTACATCCTTGCTGTTACTAATGCAACCTCTTGGATTAAATCCTCCCCTTTTGCTTAAATCTTTTAAATCCTTAATCATATCAATAGCTCTTTCGGGCGTTGGTACAGATTTTCAAACAATCATCAACACAGAAGTATTCACTAATACATTTCATTACCTCCTCATCGCAAAGTCCCTGAGTGTCTATTACAACTTGTCTTAAAGCCATATTAGCACAGGCTGGGTTAGATATTGCACTGAGCAAATGTACAGTCATTCCAAACACTTTAGGTTCTATGTTCAAGTCACCCTTTGGCCACCAATAGAAACGTACGAAATCCTTATGCTTCTCAGGAACTTCAACTTGATAAAACATAGACTCAATGTCACCCATAATGGCTATTGGTTCCTTTCTAAATCGGAGTAACACGTTATGAAGCTTGGTAGCTAGATTTGGACCTTGAAGTAAATGATCATTCAATGAGTTACCCAAGTACTTAGCTGAGCAATCAAAGACCACTCTCAACTACGTTTTTCTTGGGTGTTATACTCCATACTTTCCGTCATTTCTGCTTATCTCTAATTCAGGCACCTGTTCTACGTATCCCTTGTCATTTTTGTCATAAAGGCTGCATATTCTTTAGCAAATCCTTGGATTTTACTGAACCTGTTTTCAAGATGCTGCTGTCTTAATTTTGCATAATTCTGATTATTTGGAATCTTCAACTCTTCATCATAGAATGGTAGCTCCATCTCGTAGTTGCCATCCACGAGTTTCATTGAATCTTGAACTTTATTTAAAAACAACTTATCCTTAACTGAATTTTCCCTTTCATCATCTGTTATTCTTTCTGGGAACTCCATGATGATTAGCTTTCTTACTACTAAGTTCTGTCGTACTAGTTTTACACGATGTTACAAGATCCGCTCCCTGTCACTTCAGTAGACCCCATATTACCCAACCTATTCTTGTTTAGAAAGCAGTTGGGCAGTATTCCTCTCCTGATATAATTTCTAATGGTCTATATGCTTCTAGGTTATTGTTTCCGATCAACAGATTCACTTCTCCATCGAACTGTGGAATCTCTACGTCCTTTAAATATGGCCTCTTTTTTAAGCCTTCCCTTGAAGGCATAAACCCTTTGCAAATATTTATATTGTACTGAGAATGAACATTTGATAAGTCTACCAAATCGCTTCCTGCCAAGGCACCAATTTGTAGATCCTTCAGGACCGTAGAGCTCACCTTCTTTTTTCCCATTAAGGGTCTCTAAGTTGCATGTGACTCCTCTTCCCTTACATTCCAGCTCATTCATTAGTTTCTCTGAACAAATAGTTGTAGTTGAACCCGGATCTAAGAATGCTCGTGTCTGTATGGTTTTATGACTATTCTTCCTTTTAACTTTCACTGATATGATGCTAATGCGGCCATTTTGTCTGTTCCTTCTGACAATGTATGGCAAGCTTCTGCATTCACGTTTACCACCTCTTTGGGATTTTGAGCTTCTTGTTGCTCAGACTTCCTTTGTAACATCATGTTTTCAATTTTTAATTTCTCCAATTCAGCCCTTAGATTCCCAGTTTCGTCCTGTAGTGGTGTATTCCCTCACATGCATTATTGTGGGATATTCTTTATCGCACCCAAGGCAAATTTCCTTCTTGAAACATTGAGCATTACCACGACCAGTTCTCAAGCATGAGAAACACAATTTCTTTTCCCTTATTAGTTCAACTTTCCTTTCATATTTAAGTTCCTAAACCTTTTACAGTCAAGTAGCCTATGATTTCTCTAACATTGATGACACCCATTTTCGTAGTCTTCTTCACTACTTCTCTCAATTTCCCTTTCTTGGACTCGCGTAGCAAATACTTATCTTATCTTAGGGTTATTAGTTTTACCCTCGTTTAGTTGCTCCATACCATAGATGGGATGCCTGGCTTTCTTAGCTTCCCTTGAAACGAACTCTGCCAAGTCTGAAAATACTATAGGCTTAGAGGCATCACCCCTCTCACAGATAATTGCACGCCACCTTTCTTGCATGTTGTATGGCTATTTCATAACAAGTTTTCTCATGTTATCTGGGCTTTCTAAAGTTTTAACTGAATCCATACTTAATATATCATACTCACATCCTGTGAGAAACATCGAAAATTTGCCAAGAGCTCCCACATCATTTCCCTTGATTACTGGCCAATCCAAAGCCTTCTTGATATAAGCCCGGGCCACAACGTCATCATTCCCATAACAATCCTCAAGTTCTTTCAAGGCTGCCTCATACCCCCTTTCTGGATTCATGCTCGTAAATTCTTGTATTCTTTCTCTTGCTCCCCCTGAGGTAAATTGTTCTAAGTAGCTTAAACGTTCATCATAGGAAGTGCAGTAGGTAAGCACCTTTGTTCGAAACCGTCTCATAAATCTATTGAAGTCAAGAGAGTTACCATCAAATGGCCCAATATCCATATTGGGTTTTCGCATTTCTTTGACGAACGAGTCCATTTTTGCTATGAAATTCAAATTGGGCATATCTGGAAGGTCTCCATATTTACAGGCATTTATACTCCGGCCTTGATAATTGTCTTCATCATATGTACCGTTGTCATGTAAGCCGTATCGCCTGGAATCATAAGGATTACTAAACCCTTCAACCCTCGGAACTATAGATATCTCTTGATCGTAAGAACTCACACTACTTTTGGGACCTAATCCCCTTCTAATTTTCTTGCCATCCCAAGCCTAACGTGGGCTACATCCCTTTCATTTTTAATTAACTGCCTCTCTTTCTAATACCTCCGTTTCCTCTTTCCACATTATCTCAAATTCTTTCATTTTAGCATCTTCAGTTTTATGCTTTCATCGAAACGTCTCTGTGAGAAGTATTACCGATTAATTCTTGAGGTTTGCTATGTCCTCCAGAGTTAGTTACCTTTTGCATCACATTTAAAATCCAAATAATAACATGAAATGGGCGGGAAACCAGTGTTATATCTTCCCAACTATTCCGTTTCTTTGATTCAGCTCCGACTTATATGTTATCTTTCACTCATTCATTCAGTTTACCTATTTCTCCTAAACATGAGCACTTGCGTGCACGAGGGCCACGGTCGCTAATGTCACTAACAAGAAATCTTCCTCCATGACATATTGCATCAATTTCAAACATTTCACTTCCTTAGCGTGCAGAAACAGTTTTCCGGATTCGCTAATCAGAAATAGTCATCTTCAAAAACTTTGTTACTTTTCTCCTAAAACTAATCACAAATAGGCTTGATCATATGTTCGATCCGTACACTCGTACACAGCTATGATGTTTCTGTCTCATAATAATCGCCCGTCAAACACCGTGTCACTTCCGTAGACTTAGCGCAGTTCGCTCCTCCCGCCCGTCTCTTTATCGTCGCGGCAACGTAACAGCAATAATCTCCCTTTGCGTTTGACTGTAAGCGCCATTTCACGCGCTTAGATTATTTGTGTTAACTCGAGGTGACTGATACCACTGCGTCGTACTCGCTTCTCAATTTATTGGAATGCGGTCAAACCTGTAACCAATACATAATCAATACAATAGCAATCATGCAATAATAATCATAATTGCTGTTACAATTCGACTTAAATTCACTAACAAGATTATAACAGTACTTATAATACTACAACTATAGTGAGCATACATTTTACTATTTGCTAAGAATGTCATTATACCCTACTGCTTTTGGTAAGCAATAACATACACTGACACTAATGTATATCAATACATGAATGTGTATGATACGTAGATTAGTATTTCAGTAATACATACATGCATACACGTGTGTGTGTGTGTGATAATTATAATTGATCTTACCCTCTTAGCATTACGAACATTTTTGTGATAAAACAGATAAAAACAGAATCTAATACTATTTTGTAATATGATAATGCAAATAAAGACATCTACCCTTATCATCTCTGATGACTGATGTCACCATTTTTTTTTTATTTCTCTTCATTATATTATCAGCACCATCATTCATATTATCATAATTATCACCATGATGCAATTAAAGTAAAGACCATATTGCACAAGGTACGAACGAAGCTTCCATTGTTTTATCTCTTGGTAAAACTGTTCATATTGAAATGCATGTCGGTGTATGACTCACGAAGAATTTCCCGGTCAAACTGTAAACTGCCAAGGGTATGACACAGCATGTTGTATAGAGTGGCTGACTATCCTGCTGACGGCCTTGGGGAAAACACGGCCCAAGATAACGTTTTGCCAGGATGTGAAGGCAAGAGGGGGGGTAGGGGTGCCTTAAGCCTCTGTCCTCTCTTTTTTTCTCTTTTCTTCGTATCCAATATACCTTTTTATATCCAAAAATCAAGGTCAGAATGCATACTTAAACAAAAACACCGTCTTCAGCTCAGGTACCCTCACCGCCGTACCAACTCAGCTACCCCGCCCATGGCCCACTGAACAGCAGCCAGGGCCTCTCGGTGGCAAAGATGGCGACCTAGGTGAAGTTGCCATACATACTGAACGCATTCAGGAACCATTTGGGCCGCCTCGTGCAAGAAGTCATACTGTTCCTGTTCACGAAGTAATTGGTGATGATTATTTCTAATATCATTAATAAGTCATCTTTATCAGACTTTTGGTATCGTTGTTATTATCATCATTATAAACATTATTATTTATTATTATTATTATTATTATTATTATTATTATTATTATTATTATTATTATTATTATTATTGTTATTTATTATTATTATTATCATTATTATATTATTATTATTATTTATTATTATTATCATTATTATTATTACTTTTATTATTATCACTACTACTACTATTAATATTATCATTATAATAATAATAATAACTATCATTATTTTTGTTATTATTATTATTATTATTATTATTATTATTATTATTATTATTATCATCATCATTATCATTATCATTTTTATTAGTATCAATATTAGTAGTATTATTGTTGTGGTTATTATCCTCATTATCATTAACATTATTATTTATTACCATTATTATTATCATCCTTATCAAAATTACAAGTATGACAACATATACATACATATAATTATCACCATTATCATTCTCATCATAAATATTATCACCATATCAATATTACTATTATCTTTATAATCATAGTATCATTATCATAATCAGTAGTATTACTTATACGTATTATCATTATTACTACTGGTATTATCATTATCATTATTATTATTATTATCATTATCATGATTATCATACCATTATCAATATTGTTATTATCATTATCATAATTGTTATTATCAGTATCGTAATTGTTACTATTACAATATTATTATTATCATTATTATCATCATCATTGCTGTCAATGTTATTATCATTATCATCATTACCATTACTGCGATGAAGGAAGGAATAGAGAAAGACACAAAAGGCAGGAAGGAAGAAAAGAATGGAAGGATGGATAGTAAGGAAAAAAGAAGAAGAAAAGGGTGTAAAAAGGAGGAAACACATGGAAGGAAGATGTAGGAAGAAAGGAAGAATGAGACGAAGGAGAAGAGGAAGAAAGGAAAACTTAAGAGACAAGGAAGCACACGTACGAAGGAGAAAGTGAAGAACGGACAAGGGAAAGGAGGAGAGGCTGGTAGGAAGACAATAAACGACGGGAATACGAAAGAGGAAGAAACACAACGCATACGTACAAAGGACGGGATGAACTGCGGCCGGTCGTACATGACGCTAAGGACGGCCGGTATATGTCTATCTCCTGCAGCAGTTTGGCCCGGGAGAGAACCAGCTGCCGTGCCACCGTCAGCCCGCTCCCGCTCACGCCGTCCCTGGGGTGGGCGGGGGTGGGGGGGAGGCTTCAAATTAGGCTTTTTTTTTGGGGGGGAGGGGGCATTTCGGAAAGGAGAGGTTTATATGTCGAATAGGAGTGGTTTTCATTTTTTTAAAAAGGAGAGGTTTCCCTTTCGATTTGGTTTCCATTTTAAAATAGGAGAGGATTTCCATTTCGAAAAGGAGCGGTTTGCATTTTTAAAAAATTGGAGGATTTCTATTTCGAAAATAAGAGGTTTCCATTTCGAAAAGGAGAGGTTTACATTTTCAAAAAGGAGAGATTTCAATGTTAAAAAGGAGAGGTTTTCATTTCAAGGAATAAGACGTGAAATGCAATAAGACACGAACTGCAATAAGACACGAAATGGAATAAGGCACGGAATGCCAACCAAGCATGAAATGGAAAAAGACACGAAATTAAAAAAGACACGAAATGGAATAAGACACGAACTGCAATAAGACACGGAATGCAATAAGACACGAAATGGAATAAGGCACCGAATCCAATAAAACACGAAATGCAATAAGACACGAACTGCAATAAGACACGAAATGCAATAAGACACGAAATGGAATAAGACACGAAATGGAATAAGGCACCGAATCCAATAAAACACGAAATGCAATAAGACACGAACTGCAATAAGACACGAAATGCAATAAGACACGAAATGGAATAAGACACGAAATGGAATAAGGCACGAATCCAATAATACACGAAATGCAATAAGACACGAAATGGAAAAAGGCACAGAATCCAATAAAACACGAAATGGAAAAAAGACACGAAATGAAAAAAGGAGGAATAACACGCGAAATGCAATTGGGAGCGAGGACGCACGCACCTGCAGGAAAAGAGCGGAGGGCCGCCCGTCCGCGGAAGGGAGTCGAGGCGCTCCAGGACGGCGAGGAGGGGCAGCGGCGACGAGGGCAAGGCGACGTCGGCAGGCCAGCCCTCCGCCTGCAGTACGGCACAACGGTGGCTGCCCATCACCTTCTGCAGGAGGAAGGAGAGGAGTGGTGAGCGGGGGTGTGATACAGGATTCTGGGTGGTCTCTCTCTCTCTCTCTGTCTCTCGCTCTCTCTCTCTCTCTCTCTCTCTCTCTCTCTCTCTCTCTCTCTCTCTCTTCCCCCCTCCCCCCCCCCTCTTTCTCTCTTTTCCTCTCTCTCTCCCTCTCCCTCTCCCTCTCCCTCTCCCTCTCCATGTTTATGTACATGTGTATCCTATATATCATTTCTTTTCAAAATCTCCATCCCCCCCTCCCTCCCGCAAGCACTTACCTCACTATTGACGAACGACACTTGAACGGTTGTCTCAGTGAAGTTGTTATAGAACTGACTACTGATGACTTCCACCCTCATGTTCTTCAGGTTCCACACCTCTCCGGCGGGAGGAAGCACGCTCGGAAATCCTTCGGGAGGGAGAAGAAAAAAATTGTAGTTCTGAGTATGATATTCCACGATCTATCTTTCGTGTGGTTAGATGAGATAGGTAGATAGATAGATGGAGCGAAAGACAGAGAGATAGTTAAAGAAATAAGATATATCGTAGATGAGATAGATAGATAGATAGAGCGAAAGACAGAGAAATAGTTAAAGAAATATGATATATCGTAGATGAGATAGATAGATAGATAGATAGAGCGAAAGACAGAGAGATAGTTATAGATATAAGATATATCGTAGATGAGATAGATAGATAGATAGATAGAGCGAAAGACAGAGAGATAGTTAAATAAATAAGAAATATCGTAGATGAGATAGATAGATAGATAGATAGAGCGAAAGACAGAGATAGTTAAAGAAATATGATATATCGTAGATGAGATAGATAGATAGATAGATAGAGCGAAAGACAGAGAGATAGTTATAGATATAAGATATATCGTAGATGAGATAGATAGATAGATAGATAGAGCGAAAGACAGAGAGATAGTTAAATAAATAAGAAATATCGTAGATGAGATAGATAGATAGATAGATAGAGCGAAAGACAGAGATAGTTAAATAAATAAGAAATATCGTAGATGAGATAGATAGATAGATAGATAGAGCGAAAGACAGAGAGATAGTTATAGATATAAGATATATCGTAAATGAGATAGATAGATAGATAGATAGAGCGAAAGACAGAGAGATAGTTAAATAAATAAGAAATATCGTAGATGAGATAGATAGATAGACAGATAGAGCGAAAGACAGAGAGATAGTTATAGATATAAGATATATCGTAGATGAGATAGATAAATAGATAGAGCGAAAGACAGAGAGATAGTTAAATAAATAAGAAATATCGTAGATGAGATAGATAGATAGATAGAGCGAAAGACAGAGAAATAGTTAAAGAAATATGATATATCGTAGATGAGATAGATAGATAGATAGATAGAGCGAAAGACAGAGAGATAGTTAAAGAAATAAGAAATATCGTAGATGAGATAGATAGATAGATAGAGCGAAAGACAGAGAATAGTTAAAGAAATATGATATATCGTAGATGAGATAGATAGATAGATAGATAGAGCGAAAGACAGAGAGATAGTTAAAGAAATAAGAAATATCGTAGATGAGATAGATAGATAGAGCGAAAGACAGAGATATTTAAATAAATAAGAAATATCGTAAGTGAGATAGATAGATAGATAGATAGATAGATAGATAGATAGATAGAGCGAAAGACAGAGAAATAGTTAAAGAATATGATATATCCGTTCACCGTGTCACTAATTTCTCTCCTTTTTTCTCTCCTATATTCCCCTACGCCTCCTTTCATCCAATTTTCCCTCTTCCCACGCACCTTGTCGTGATCGGGGAAGGCGTGGACGAGAATCCAGACTGGCATCTTCCTCTCGTAGATCATCCTCCAGGCTGTGTCGAGGGTGTGCTCCATCGGGTGTTCCATCGCTACGAATTCGTCCTGAGGAGGAGACAAAAAGGCAAGGGAGTGTCGTTGGCCAAATCTCACTGGACTCAACTTTTGTTTAGATTTTACTGGACTCAACTTTTGTTTAGATTTTACTGGACTCAACTTTTGTTTGAATTTCACCGAACTCAATTTTTATTTAGATTTCACTGGATTCAATTTTAATTTATATTTCACTGGACTCAACTTTTGTTTAAATTTCACTGAACTCAATTTTTATTTAGATTTCACTGGATTCAATTTTAATTTATATTTCACTGGACTCAACTTTTGTTTAAATTTCACTGAACTCAATTTTTGTTTAGATTTCACTGGACTCAACTTTTGTTTAAATTTCACTGAACTCAACTTTTATTTAAATTTCACCGAACTCAACTTTTGTTTAAATATCACTGAACTCAATTTTTATTTAAATTTCACCGAACTCAACTTTTGTTTAAATTTCACCGAACTCAATTTTTATTTAGATTTCATTGAACTCACTTTTATTTAAATTTCACTGGACTCAACTTTTATTTGAATTTCACTGGACTCAACTTTTATTTAAATTTCACTGAATTCAACTTTTATTCAAATTTCACCGAACTCAACTTTTGTTTAAATTTCACGGAACTCAACTTTTATTTAAATCTCACCAAACTCAACTGTTAAACAAATCTCATTAAACTCAACTTTTATTCAAATTTCACGTAACTCCTTCTTTATTCAAATCTCACTGGAAACTTTTATTCACATCTCACTTAATTAATTTTACCTTGCCTGTTGCCTCTAGAATTCCTTTTCCTCTATCTCTTATCCTGCTTTTATCCCCAATTCTTAGCCTCCTACTCTTCTTTCCAAATTTTTAGTCGCATTTTCGTGCTGTGTATGAGGGTAAGCACGAGCCAGGTGTATACGTACGTACGTACGTGTGTGTGTGTGTCTGTGTGTGGGTGTGTGCGTGTGTGTCCGTGTGCGTGTGTTTGTATGTATGTATGTATGTATGCATGTATGTATACACCTATATATGTTCGCCATTTTGTCCTGTCTCCCCGACCCACCTTTTTGTCGAATCCGTTGACGAAAGTGGCGTTGATGTACTGAGAGCAAGAGTCGCTGGTCATCACGTAGAGGAAAATCATCCTGCCATCCGCTGTGAGAGGTCAGGATAGGTCAACAAAGATCAATATTGTCTGTAGGACGCGCGCTCTTTCTCTCTCTCTCACTCTCCTTCCATATGCCATATATCGCTAACAAAATCATTTGATAAAACCCCGGCCCGTGATAAAAGGCAAAAAACACAAAATAAGTAAATAAAAAAAAAACATGAATAAACTAGAAAAGCACTCAGAGAGTACAGACCTCCGCCAAGGTGCGTATATAATGTACTTACACCACTGCTGCGTCCAGACGGTAATTCGAAATGTCAGTGAAATGTGGTACACGTTTACCGTAGATTTGTGAACTTTATTGATTAATTAATGATAATAATAATAATAACCAGACGGTAATTCGGAATGTCACCAAAATTTAATCAGTTCTAAGTTAGTCCCTTTCTGACTTGTCCCCAAAAATTCGATGAAATCCGGCCTGCACTTTTTGAGCTAGGCTGCTAACAAACAAACTAACCAACAAACCAACGCCGTCAAAAACATAACCTCCTTGGCGGAGGTAATGAATAAGCCAACAAATAAAACAAATAGAAATAAGACATGCAAAAAAAGAGAAAACGACAAAACATAAACAAAATAAACAATAGAGAAGCGAGAAAGCGATGAAGGGAAGAAGAATTAGCAAGTAGATATAAAAAAATCGGATAATCAAAAACAGAACAAATAAACACAGAAACAAACAAACAATATAAGCAAGACAAAGATTTTGAAAAGCGTTCGAGCGAGGAAATTTGAGCAAAAAACCTGGACGAGAAGGATAGGGGGGGGGAGGTAAGCAGAGTAAGGAAGAAAAAAAAGAGCAGTTTTCGAAAACATCTAAATCCAGGGCGAGTAAAAAAAAAAAAAAAAAGTGGGAAGAAGAGGAAGCAGAAGAAGAAGAAGAAGAAGAAGAAGAAGAAGAAGAAGCAGAAGAAGAAGTAGCAGAAGCACAAGAAGTAGAAGAATTAGAAGCTCGAAATCTATTTAAAATTAGTTAAAAGAAAAAAAAAAGAAAAAAAAACCTGGGACGATTTCGGGGTCTCGATTGAGGTGGGCGAATTCGGGTTTCTTGGCGAAGGAGAAGGTCAGGCCCTTCGGGAAGTCCTTCAGTTTCTGCGGCAGGATGACCTTTATTTTTAATTTACTTCGTACAGGCGTTGGGGGTCATTCATGGTGTTGTTTTTACGGGTGATAATAAGGATGATGAATATAGTAATAAGTGTTTTTTTTACGATTGGTAATAAGGATATTATGTTTTTTTTAGGATTAGTTATAAGGAATTTTTTTTTATGATTAGTAATAATGTTATTAATGACTGTTTCTTTATGATTGGTAATAAGGATATTAATGAGTAATGATTGTAATAAGAATATTAATTAGTGTTTTTTTACGATTGATAATAAGTTAATAAATGTGTTTTTTTACGATTAGTAATAAGTTAATTGCTATAAATGGTGTTTCACTGTTTAATAAGTGCGGAGTTGTTAGTTTTTTGGTTTTTGTTAAGGTTTATCAATTCTGTGAACAATAGGGGGGTTATCCAAACGAAGACGAGTAAAGAAAGAAAACCGTATAAACAATGGAAATAAAAGGATTTAAAGAGGAGGTGAAGGAAAGGGGGAAGCATAACAATGGGTCGACAAGTAATAAAAAACTGATGAAAGAAAATAGAGAAGAAACCAACATGTAAATGGTTAAATGGAACTATGATGGTGACGATGATGCGATGATGTTAATTGATGAGGTGAGAAAAAGTAAAGTAAAATGAGAAAGAACATAAAGGACCACAGATAGAAACATAGAAAATAGAGGAAGGAGGAAAAAACGAAGAAAAGACGAGGGAAAGAACACGAAGAAAAGAAGGCGAAGAGGAATTAAAAGAGGAGGAGAGAAGAAGAGAAGAAGAACAGAAAAAAGAGAAGAAGAAAAAGGTAGAGATAAAAGATGACACAAAGAGGAAAGGAGATAAGGAAAGACGGACCTCTCTTCCACCTGGTATTGCTCCTGAAAGGGCCCAGGGGGGGAAAGGGGTTTTGACCTCCTGGGGGGCTGCGGCTGTCCTCAGTTCTATCCAGATCCTCCATGGAAACTGCCGCAGGGATGCTTGTTTCGTCTCCCGCACAGAAATTCGGCAGGAGTGGTGGGCGAAATCTATAATGCAACCTTGCAGATGTGGCAAAGGGTTGAAATCACTAGGGATACGAAGAAAAGAGAGTTTTGGGCGTCTCTTGCAATTCCTCTTTATTTCTCCCCTATTGTCTTTCATTGCCCTCTTCCTTTTCTTCTTCTTTCCTTCTCCTTTTGTGCTAAATACCTTGATACAGGTTGGTATAGCGTTATAAATGCCACGCGAAAATGCCTATTCTCAGCTAATTGTTGTCGCTTCGCTCGCAATCCGTCCTTGCCCCCCCCCCCTAAAGAAAATGCTGAAGGACTTCCCTGCTTTTCCTCTTCCCTATCCTTCCCCTTCCTGCTCCCTCCCCCTTCCCTCCACTCTTTTCCTGTCTCACATCATATTTAGCCCCGCCCTCTCTTGCCTTTGCTTTCCTGCCCTGTGACTGCAGCTACTCCTTCCCCTTTTACTCTCCACCTCTTTTACCTTCACGCGTTCCTACCCTTATTATCGCATCTTTCCACGCCCCCCCCCCCCCCATTTGCTTTCCCTTTTCCTTCTTCGTTTTCCCATCCTCAACTCTTTCCCTTCCCATCTCTCCCTCTACTTCCATCCTTCCTATCTCTCTCCTCTCTTCTTCCTTCGTTCTTCCCTCTGCCTTACCACGGTCTCCACGAGAAAGGTACGCGCCTCCTGAGTCAAGGAAGGCCGTCGCGCATGACTCACAAGACTCGTTTGCCTCCAGCTGGTCGAGGCGCGTGCAGTACAGCAGGATGGTGTCCCGTTGGTCTATGCCAGCGCTGCGGGGGTAGGGGAAGCGAGGTCAGAATGGTACGCGAGGTATGTGCTCCGGTACAAGGGAATTTTTGCATCAAACGGAACGAGGTTCGTTGTGTTCGGATAAAAGAGAGGAAATATGTCAAGCAGACGAGGTTTGTCGTGCTCGGGATAAAACAGGAAATATGTCAAGCAGACGAAGGTTTGTTGTGTTCGGATAAAAGAGAGGAAATGTGTCAAAACACGCGAGGTTTGTCGTGTTTTGGGGGAAACTTTTAAAAAAAGGGGGGGGGGGAAAAAGAAGTACAAATGAAAGGAAAAGAAAACAGGACGGCAGTGATTGTCCTTTTCCTCCCGTACAAGAGCAGATAAATCGTATCCGAAGCGTTGCACAAGGTCGCAAGAAGCCCTAGAGCTCCCCGGGCCCTCACCTGCAGTGCACGAGAAGCGGTCCGTAGCCCATGTCCTCCGCCCGGACTTGGCACCATCTGCGCCAGGCGGTCAGGCGTGCAAAAGGGGACGACGTGGTCGGGCCAGGGCCAAGAATGGTACCTGCTTCACCTGCGAGAGGACGAAGAAGGCAAAGCTGTTTGTACTGTGGCATCATAAGGCAGGAGAGAAAGGGGGAGGGGAAGGGCGAGGGAAGGAGGGGGGAGTTGAGGGGAGGGCAGGGAAGGGAAAGGGAGGGAAGCGAAGGGAAGGGAGGGGAAAGGGAAAAGATGAAAGAGAAGGAGAGAAAGAGAGAGAAGAGAGTAATATAGAGAGAATGGAGGAAGAGAAAAGAGAGAGAAAGAGAAGGAGAAGAGAAGATGAGAAGTGAGAGAGGAAGTAGTAGAGAAAGAGAGGGTAGAAGACAAGACGGAAAAGGAGAGGGATCTTAATATACACAGCTACCGAGATCAAACACACACACACACACACACACACAGACACACACACACACACACACACACACCACACACATACACACACACACACAAACGCACATCACTCGTAATTCACAGCATAAGGAAATTATACACAATCAAAGGAAATCTATATCGCATATATATAGTTAATATATATAGATATATATATAGATCTATATATAGTGATATAGATATGTATGTATATATGTAGAGAGATTATTGTATTGCACATGATATATATATAGCATACATTTATATATAGATATTAGAGATAGATATAGAGATATATATGATAACGGAGATATATATATATAGATAGATACAGACAAGAGAGAATAGAGATATATATATATAGATATATATATATATATATATAGTATATACATATAGATACTATAATATATAAATATATATTAGATAGATATATATATTAATAGATATAGATATAGATATATATAGATATAATTAAGATATATATATCTATATAGTAGATATAGATAGTTGAGATATGTATAAGGATAATTATGTATATATATATATAAATATACTACATATATATAGATATATCTATCTCTATATAGATATATAATATAATTATTGTATAGATATAAAGGAAGATATATGACATATAATATATATATATGTATATATATATATATAATATATAGATAGAATAATAATATATATATATATAGAAAAGGTATGATGAGAATGAGTCTTGTGAATACTCTTCTCATTCATACCTTTCTACATTCGTCGACATGAATACGGTTCACATATATACATTATATATATATATATATATATACTATATTATATATATATATTATAATATATATATATTATAATATATATTAATATATACAACACAACACACACTGTTGTTTTAATTCTAGATTGGACATGTGAACGAAACCGCTCTATGGTAGGCCTTTTCCCTCCTCACCTCTCTCTCTCGTGGTCGAGCCGAAGCAAAGGGTCTCACTACGAAGTCCACTTAAAAGAATGGTGTCATATACATTAATATAATTGCGGTTCGAACAGTAATGATAACGATGACATTTTCTGTTGTGATCTCTATCGTGTTTTTGTTATGTTGCTGTTGCTGTTTTTATGATAATGTTAATGATGATTATGATTATTAGATTATATCATCATTATTCTATTACTATTACTATTATCGCTACTATATTGTTATATTATATCAATTGTCAGTTTTCACATTATTATTATCATCATCATCTTTAATATAATTATTGTTATTAATATTATTATTATTAATATACATCCGCCAAGGAGGTTAGTTTTTGACGGCATTGGTTTGTTTGTTAGAAGCCTGCTCAAAAAGTGATGGCCGGATTTCATCGAATTTTTGGGGGAAAAGTCATAAAGGGACTAACTTAGAACTGATTAAAATTTTGGTGACATCCGAATTACGGTCCTGGTATTATTATTATTATCATTATGTAATCAATAAACAAGTACACAAATCTATGGTAAACTTGTGCCCACATTCACTGGGACATTCCCCGAATACCGGTCTGGACGCAGCAGCGGTGTAGTACATTATATACGCACCCTTGGCGGAGGTCTGCACTCTCGAGTGCTTTTCAGTTATTATATTATTATTGGTATTATTATTACTATTACTATTATTATGATTCTCATTATTGTTACCATTATTACTATTATCATTACAATCAATCAGCATCATTATCATTATCAGCACAGCATCATTCTCTTATTCATTACCATTATCATCATCATCATTATTATTATTATGATCATTATTATCATTACCCTCATTATTATTACTTAATTATTAATTTCATTAATCACGATTACATTATTATCATTATTTGACTATCATCTTATACTGTAAACTTATATTATTAGCGTTCTTCACTATTATCGTTACTATCATTATCATTATTATTATAGTCATTATCGTTTATATTGTTTTACTGTCATGTCAACATTTTTTTATTATCATTATGGGGATCAGTATGATTAATTACTATCAGCAGGAGGAGTATACTAGTATGATTATTATTAGTAGGAGTTATTATAATGTATGATGATCATATTATCAATTAATATCAATTAGTAGCCTTATTATATTGTGTATCATTATTATTATTAGTAGAATGAGGATTAGGATTAGGAGGATTGTTGGTTATTAGTATTTAGTATTAGCAGTATGATGATTATTGTTATTATTAGTATTATCACTATATTATTAGTATTATAATAGTTTGGATTAATATTTTTATTATCATCATCTATTATCATCATGATCATCATCATTATATAATTATTATAAGTCTTCTTATTATTATTATCATTATTATTGTTCTCATTATCATTTTAATTACCAGTATCAATATCACTATCATTATTATTATCAATATCAATATTTCCCAAAAATTTTATTATTACTATCATTACTTGACAGATAAGAACTGATAGAAAATAAGAGATGATAATAAGGATACAAATCGCCAAAAAAAAAAAACTCAAACTGTCACTAAATTAAACCTGTAATTGAAAAATGTCGCAACCGTCTGAGCACTGGATCAAAGTTCTGCTAAAAAACCGAACGAAAAATAACGAAATCAGCTGGCACGAAAAAAAAAAGATAAAGAGGGACCGTCTATCTTACCTCACTTCTCCTTCTTCAGGTGGATCTCGAGGCCGCCCTTGAACATGGCTCCTTGTCGGGCAGTACTGGGCTACTGACCTGTGGAAACCGCGTTACCTCTTCTGTGGATAGATTTGTTATAGTTACTCGTGTATGTACACCACACACACACGCACCACACACACACGCACCACACACACATGCACACACACACACATACACACATACAAACACACACACACACACACACATGTATATATATCTGATGTATGCATATTCTATATTAATATATTATATATATATATATATCCACACACATAGATAAATAGATAGATAGAATACATGATGTCTATATATTTACATATAGAAAATGCATATTTATACATATACAAAAACATATGCAACCCCGCGAGCGCTGGCGGGCGTGAGGAGCACCGCTGGCATGAGCTCGAGCGGGCCGCCGCCAAGACTCACCCGGCCCGCCCCGACGAGTCTGTCACCATGACGACCACGCGGACGCCCGCCGT